TCTCTCTCTCTCTCTCTCTGTTACTGTTGTTACCATATGATATAACTTACACTTGTGACGATCTGGTTCGGAAGTGGGCACCATATACGAAGATGTTGTTGCCGAATTCAAGCATAAGTGTCACCCAGTTCCTGACCCTTCAAAAATGTGGGGGGTTTAATGTGTGTATTGTTTTTATTGCATTGCATTTACCTGCCTTTCTATGAGTTTGTCACGATGTGGTTAGGATGTGGGGGCCGTGTATTAAGACGTTGTTATTGTATTCCGGCATAACTGACGGCGAGTTCCCTACCATGTTGAAGTGTGGAGTTTCTTGTGTGTGTTTTTCATATATCATTGCGAAACCTGCCACCTCTCCTCTTTCTCTCTCTCTTACAAAAAAAAAAAAAAAAAAAAAAAAAAAAAAAAAAAAAGTGATACTATATATTTTCATCTTATTGATGGAAGTAGCAGGTAGAAAGAGGTTACTTTCATCAATAAGATGAGTAAGATCGAAATGAATCTTTCGCCAGAAAATGGAAATACGCACTGCTTTCCACCCATGCGCGCAAATAGATAGACGGAGGATAGTTCCATTTATGGCATGAGCAAAATCGGAATGAATCTTCTGCTATACTATGAAAATATTCAAGCACTGCATATTTCACTGGAGGTTGGACTACACCTTTGTCTCACCGTGACTCTTCCGAAGGCGGCGTCATACGTCACTTTGCATCACCATACACTTGATCCTGTACGACTCGGAGTCAAGTTGTTGGCCTTGGTGYCACAAGTGCATTTTTGGCGTACGGCGTGATTTTTTATGCAAATACATTCATCCATATTTTGAGAAATACTAGGAAGAAAAAAAAAAAGTCTAGAAAAAAATAAAATAAAAAATTAAAAGGTGGTTACACTACCTAGCATGAGATGCACAAACAACCTGAGGTAGCAACCTCAGAGCACAACCACATAACTTACACTTGTGACGATTTGGTTGGGAAGTGGGAGCCATATACGAATACATTTTAGCCGTATTCTGGCGTAAGTGACACCCACTTCCCAACCGTGTTGTTTTTTTCCATTCCTCACTAATGCTACCGGCTGACCCCTGGCTGGTATCGCCCACCTGTTGTAGCAGGTATCGCACCTGCTAGTGGGTGCAGCTCCCGCATGTTCCCTTGCTGGAGGCTTGAGCACGGAAGTGGCTGCTACGGGGTTCCCCGTAATACTATAATGAAAAAAGAAAGGTCTGAAGTGGGAGGAAAA